CCGCAAAACAACAGGAGAGGCAGACTGAGCTTTACAACCGCAAGGTGAGGGGTGCGTCTGTGGATGTTGGCGACAGAGTCTTGTTGGCCAACAAAGGAGGACGAGGTCGGAGGAAGCTGGCTGATCGCTGGGAGGGTCACATATACACTGTTGTGGAYAAACAGGATAACACTCACACCTTCAGACTCAGGAACTGTTCGACGAARCWGGAGAAAGTGGTCCACAGGAACCTCATTATGCCTGTGAACTTCCTACCTGTCCCTGCTGATCTGGAGGATGACGGATCCTTTGARGGTTCCCTGACTGATGAGGCTGTGGATGAGTCGGTGTGGCGTGCTGAACAGGATGATTCAACTGTTCTTCCTGGCAGTGGACCTGAGGATAGGACTGTTTTTTGGATCTCTCAGCTTCCAGTCTCCACGGGAGATCAMTCATCTACTGTGGGTGATGTGGATGGACATGTCCGAATAGGATCTGACTCGCCTGACCAGATTGATCCTGACATTCACGGTGACGGTGGACTTGACAGTTCTGACGAGACCAGATCTGACAAACTGGACCAGTCTGACCCTTGTAGTCCTGCTGTTGATGRTGACTGTTCTGTTGACTTACCTGACTCTCGACCTGCTGACTCTGCTCTTTCTGTTGGCATGTTGCCTTTTGATGCTGGTTCTGTTTTWGCGTCAGAGGCAGGGTTGAACTTTTCCAGTGGCAGTTTGCAGAGGATACGGACGAGGTATGGTAGGGTTGTTAGACCGGTCCTCAGACTTATTCAGAACATGCATCTGAAAGTTCTTGCAGGTCGCTAGTATTATTTCATGTATTGGCCTTACATATGTGTGTGTGGTTATTGGTTCATATATAGCCCATAGTTCCTTCAATTTTTAAGGGGGGGGTTGTTGCTTTTGATTGTTTTTTTTTTGTTTGTTTGTTTTCTTTTCTGTGATGGTTTGACACCTGTGTGTGGCCACTGGATGGGTGTGTCCAGATTGTGGATTAGCGTGCTGTTGTACTAACATGATTTCCGAGTAGTTTAACATGTATGTGGGCATGTTTCTCCTATGAGTGTTGGAAGGCTTTGCAACCCTTTTTCATTCTGATTCTTAAGGAATGGTCTTTTGACTGGAGTATTTGGTATCTGTGATATTAGCAGCACTGTTCACTTTGGAATTCTTTGTGTATTTATTTATATATATATATTTTTTTTTATTATATATATATATATATATATATATATATTTTTTTTTTTACTACCCATGTCCTCCTCTTGATATGATCTTGTTGGTGCCTGGTAGGTTTGTGGGTCAAGTAATGTACAGTCCGGTKTCATTATTWATTTGTTTTTGCTTTTTATTTTTTTATTTTGGTCTGGGGCGTATGGGCAAGTGGAGATCAGTAGGGGGGAGTGTAACGGAGTTAAAGTGTAGTATGATTCCACTTGCCATACAAACTCATCTCACAACACTGACACTTAAATATCCTGGGGTACTTAAATGCAGCACCCCTGTAGATTAGGGTCGTGCACCTCTGTAGATTAGGGTGTGCCCCCCTGTAGATTAGGGTGTGCCCCCCTGGAGATAGCAGCAGTCGGACCTTGCTGTTTCTCTGGTAGGTGCACGAATATGAGCTCCACTAATGTTTTATATTAATAACTGTAACTTAATACTAAAACATGGTTTAAGTTGCACTGCATWAACATACACTTCCTAAACAGTTGAGCCGATCCTTGTCTTGTTTTCTTTGTTTATAAAATGGCTAGTGTGGCATGTGTTAGCTAACCGCACTTCCTTTCCATTTTACATTTTTCAGATGAGCAATTGTATGTGTGTGTGTGTGAGGAAACCCGGACTAACTGTGTGCGATCCTTCTGCCAGGTACATTACGCTGTGTTAGCTCTGTTATGTTCATTTTAATATTAGAGCAGTCGGACCTTGCTGTTTATCTGATGATCAATTGTATGTGTGTGTGTGTGAGGAAACCCGGACTAACTGTGTGCGATCCTTCTGCCAGATATTAAGAATAAAAGGCATGGTTGCCAAAAGTGACGGTCTACTTCTTTGAAATACACAACACAACGGAGGAGTACAAAGCCGCTACACATACATACCCTCGGATTTGAGGCTTGTGAGGACAAAGATGAGATAGTTGTTGAAATCTGGAAACTGATTAAGTTGCTCCAATTTCTGCAGGTTCTGTTAAGGAGATCAACCATGTACACACACATACAGCATGACAAATTCTCACTCATTTCCCTTGTTTCCCTTTGGGGCAGTTTGGATTTATATACATTAATGATGCTCAATGAAAATGATCTATTGGCAGAAATTTAAGAAAAAATAATACACTCTTGTGTTATCATCTAAATTGTACAAATTGTTGTTTTCTTGACCCCAGAATGACCTTTTCTATTTAAATACTATGTATTTACATTGGGAGAGGGTCCTCTCTACGGAAGCCACCATGTTTTTTATAGTAGCCCAGACTGGACAAACTAAAAACCTTTTGAGTTTTTATGACAACTGAAGGCTACCACAGGTTCACTTTCATGTTTGGAATAGAAGGGTGAGGTGAGGGGTGTTCAACTGCAACATGAAACTTCACAACTAGATGTCACAAAATTCTACACACTGAACCTTTAACATCTGTCCTGAAATATTCAATCACAAGTATACAGGGTTAAGTTTGTCTGTTTAAAACTTTTCTCCTGTGACAACTTATGATCAGATCTCACTGCTCTATAGGCAAATAATCACATACATGTGTGTTTGCAAATGCCATATAGGGTGGTTTTATCCAGTCTGAGTATATAAATGTGTCCGATGTCACTGTGCTTGTTTGAGTGTGTGTGTGTGTGTCTGCATGAGTGATGTAGAGAGAGGAGTCAGGAGGGGCTGAATGAATCCAGCTATGACGAAAACTAATTCAAGAAGAAGAAAGTATCAATCCTAATGTGGTGTTCTGTCACACAGAAATCAATGTTTCACTGCGGAGCAAAAATGATGTTGGATTTATTCAGACATCAGCTGAGTAGGCGGCACTACATATGTGGCCCTAGACACATTCACACAGCAAAAAGAAAGTGGCCTCATGATGAGATCACAGGACGCATTTGGGTGCATTCACACCTGAACTCAGCACTTGTGATGTATCACGGAGAGGTAAACACCAGCACACACACACACACACACACACACACACACACACACACACACACACACAGGTGAGGATACTTCTTGCACAGCTCTCTGTGTTGCTGTGTCTGGGGACTGGGAGTCCTTGAGAAGCTGAAGCACTTGCTGCAGACCCTGTTCATCTGGCTGCCACTCCATCCTACAAGACACGAACACACAAACACACACTTTACCTGTTTAGGAGGAATGTGCAACACACAACCAGACGGCCCCGCCAGCACCTTCAGCTCTGTGCATTACAACTCACATCACGTAGAAACAACGTATACTGCGCATTAACTGTAGCAGATGTTAATACAAGACAATAACAAGCCAGATACTAGCTAACTGCTAACCTCACAGCTGGGTACTTGAATCTTAATGTAGGTCCATTCAAAGTGTTTGTCTGTGACATAACTGTTAGCATAGTTGTTTATTAGCATGTTCCGTTTCTGGCTACGTTAAACCAAGAGGCACGGCTCCACGGTGGACTTCTGTCACCTCCCAGCTGTATGAACAAAGAACCTCCGGCTAAAAAACTAGAGACATGAGCCGCTTTCCCACAGGAGGCCCAGGCGGCAAATGTCTCGGCTCATTTAGCTAGCAGGCTAGCTTAGCATCGCTGTAATGCTCATCTCCCAGCGGACTCACACAGAAAACAGCTGCCAGGCGAGATCCTCCCGGGACAGTGGAGACACGGCGCTGTGCTGCCAGAGTCGTGTTGCTGCTTAAAACAACCGAGACGAAGTAAATGGAGCGCATCAATAATCACAACACCCTTATCACCCAGCAGCACGGCTAGTTAGCATCACCTAGAAAGTGCCGCGAAAGGTTTTACCTGGTCACTCCGATGTCGCAGATCTATATTCCTATAGACGGTGGTGCAGTAACGCTGGAGCCGCTAACATTAAACAACCGATGACTTCGACCTGTGTGCCTGAACACAAACTTGTGATCTCACTCGATCTGTGTGCGGGCTACTTGGTATGTGACAAGAGATCGCATGCCTTGCAATCAAGCCGGGTGATCTGTTTGATCGTGTTCGGCTTCCGTACTGGAAGGTACGAGTAACTGCAGGGTCGTGATCAACTTTTAATATCCCCATTATTTAATATTTCATGAACAGTAATCCGTGTATGCTGAGATGCGACACTATGTTGAACTGTGATAATTAGTTATTGACGCATCACATACATCTTCATGTGCATTGTTTTGCGTGGTGTTTTGTTTCTGACCACCAGGTGGTATCAGATCCCGGTTGTTGCAGCATCCAGCTACTGTGACTACACAATGATGTGTATGTAGTGATGCAGGGCGTGGGTACAAGCACATGAACACCAGTGCGACCTTAAAGCACACCATGAATAAAAGCCTGTATATGTTAAGCTTCTTCAGCCCAGATTTGCTGTCACTGCCTCAAAATGGAACAATACAACTGATCTTTGAATTTTATAGTAAGTGGAGCAAAATGTCCTTGAAATAAACAATGCATGTCCAACATTATAAACTACACAGCTAGTGTTGCAGGTTTATTACAGTACTTTGTAAATGTGTTAATCTATGATTTCTACCCCAGCAGAATCACCACAACCATGTGAATCAAAGAATAGTAGGACACACTATGTACTCATAGTCACCACCACTTCCTCCATTTCAAAATCCTAGTCGAAACAAGGTTTTGGAAAAGTGGAAGTGTGAGCATGAAATATTGTTTCAACGTGTGTTTTGTAAGTTGAACAGATGCATTCTTAACACCTCCATAAAGCTTTATTAAACATATATATATATATATATATATATATATATATATATATATATATATCTGTTATGATCACAATAAACCACTTTTGTACACACATTCACATTTCTGTATCCATAAATCAAAACACGATGACAGTGAGTTGGATGGGAAGTGTCATTTCATGAATGGTAACTTTGAAAAACTGGAGGAATCACAGGGAAAGAGAGGAGCTCTGCCTGAGGGACAGGACAAGATGCACGTTTAAGCAGACTAGGTTCAGCACAGAGAACTGATTTCACTTTTGCTACAGCCCCACTTGCAGCAGGCGTTGGACAGTCCAACCACTACATCCCGTCCTTTCCTGTCTGCACTCCTCAGAGCCTCCAGCACCTCCTCTGAGATCGGCAAGCGAGCTGAGTGGCTGAATCCAGTAGCCACCGGTGCCACCTCCAGCATTTGATCTTTCCATCCTTTGGACTCTGCAGGATCCTGCTCATTGGTATGTTGAGGGATGGGATCTGTGTTCCATGGGTCAAAGGCTTCTTCTCCAATAAGAGCTAATAAAAAAAGGAAAGGTAAATCTTTTCATATTGAATTTAGACTCTAGGTAAACATGGCACATATAGTCCCTCACACACAGTCTTACCTGAGTCTCCTATGCTTCTCCTCCAGCGAGACCCACCACAGGTAAAGATGACAGCTCGTATGAACTCTCTTCCACACAGTTTCACCCCGTAGAAAGAGGGATGGCCGTCGTTGGAGCGCACCCTGTCCACGAGAGCCACCAACAAGCCCATGGTCAAGAGTGCTGCCTTCCACATGGTGAGAGTGAAAAGATGCTGGAGGTTTTTCAAAGGCTGGAAATCACTTGAGGTGTTGTGTGGTTTGCGTTTTATTTCAAACAACTTATATAGGCCTCAGCATCTCAGAGAAGGACCTCAGCTCACCTTTACTACTCGTCATGCTCAGAGATAAGACCCGGAGACCTTTAGGAGCAACAATGCACATGGAGAAAAATTAAAAGTTCTGATTAAGTAGCGAACGATGCCAGAGGTGTTGTCAGCTGTGCTCTCGGCTATCTAACCGCATGTGACCTTTTAATGGCCTTTCTGACCTTTACATCCGTTGGACTTGTGCTGTGTGTCACCAGCACTATCTCCCACCTCACTATCTGCTCTACTGGGGGAATGGATGGACGTCACTATTCATTCACCCCAAGAAGAGCTGGAGTGATATACAAACACACACAGAGTTGTATCTCCATGATTCCAGAGGACATTGCATTTACTAACATTGATATCTTTGAGACTTACATTGATTTTGATGGGAGCTTTACTCTTACTCCTTCAAATGCCTAACCCTGAGCCTTACACCAATCCTAACCTTAGCTAACCTAGAGTTATTCCTATCCCTAACCATAAAATAAGGTCCAAACTCTTAATTTTACTTAACAGGGCGTCAGAAAGTGAGGACCGGCCAAGATGTCTTCACTTTCCCATGAAGACATTTTATAAACTTACATTGATTTCCTGGAGTCTTTCTCAAACTTTTTCTACAGTCACGACTCACTGAACCCTAACCTTAACCTTAACCTTCCCCTTGACTTAATCTTTATCTCAACCTCAACCATAAACATGTCTTCACTTATATAAGCTTCTGCTGAAAAGGGCCCTTTTCCATTTTAGATAATGTGATTTTGTAAACAGATTTTAGGTCCCCACAACATTACTAACACACACACAAACACACCCACACACGCACACACACTCACACACTCACACCCACACACTTGATGATAATTGTATAGAGGGTCCAGGTATGAGGGATGATCTCAACATTTTATTTATCTGCCTGACATTCTGTACAATCAAGTCATATTAGAATTGGACATTATGCTCTGACAACATTGGTAGCACACACACACACAAACAAACAAACACACACACACACA